GCAAACCATGAATTTACCACCCACATGGTTTTTTCATGCAGAAAATGGTGATCAACCATCAAAATTTTGGCGTGTTAATTGTTAAACGAGACCTTTTGTTTACTTTAAAAGGGTACACCCCCAATTCCAATAGATAAAAATGTCATTTTTACAATGGAAAGTGCACCTTTTTTGAGGCTACCCCAACCTTTTTGTTGACAGAATATTCGGCGGACATCCATGTTTAAAAAAAGGCGGTTTTGACACTTTCAATTTGGCCAAGCAGGATGTCCATATTCATTCACCATTTTTTTTGAAGCATTGTTCATATAATATCTAAACACATGAGATTTCACAAGAATTTGTCTTGGGATTTGCGGCAAGTGGTCCCCTGATCCCGTCTGCCAGTTGGATGATTGCAGTGATTGCGTGATATGTTGCTATGATTTAGTAAGTGGAATTTATCATATTTTTTTTGTGAGCGCTGGTCATGTTGACACAGTTTCTTGAAAAGTCTAAACAGGCCTGCCTGACCTCATTGTCAAACTAACACGATGTTTTGTTTTCTATTCACAATGTGGTGGTGTGGTGCGGGTTTGACCTAATTATGGCAACATGTTTAATAATGCGGGGAGAATTGTAACGGATTCTCCACGATTTTCACTGTGAATCATAGGAAATATGACAGAAACAACGTCCATCTGATAATTGGTTTCAGGAAAAATCTGCAGAAAACTCTGGGACTCCTATACCCCCTGGTAATCAAACGTTGCAACAAGAAATCCCCGAACTAAATGGAGTTTTATATCTGGGAAAATCATTTATGAATGGTGAAATTTCCAGCTAGCCATGTTTCATTCCCGGATGTATATCCCATCATCATCCCAATTAATTATTGTCCCATCATATGCCAATTATCTCTATAATTTACCATCTGGTAAATAAACATAGACCCTGAGAATAACCAATTTTTAATGGAAACTAGTCTTCCAACCCCTATCTGCCAGGGTCTATGTTAATTTACCAGAGGGTATCTCTATAATTTACATCCCTATTGTTGTTGGTTAAACCCCACGACATGTTGCCCCGCAAAGGCCCGGCTTTAATCTGGGAGATCCTGCCAATGGCCTGAGTGGGAGCCTCGAAAATCACGGCTTGTTTCAGAAAATGGGGTGATAATGGTGGTATATATAATGGTGGTGTAAATATAATATAATATAATATAATATAATATGGTGTTTATGTAAATATAATGGTGATGTAAGTGGGATACATATAATATACAGTATATATATATATATCATACACATTGTGTGTATATAATGTGCGGGTACCAAGTTTTTTTTGGTAAACTCATCCATGAATTCCATGAAGCGTGCCATGCCTCAAATTTTGAGATATGTGTTCGTTGTAAGTCTAGGAGTCTAGGGGTTCAGGTATCAGATGCAGACTAGTAGGTTTTGCCACTACAGCCGAAACTGAAAGGATGAAAACGTTGCATGAGTTATGAAGGTGCAATCCAATTTCCGGGGTCAGTGGATTCCAGTGGATCCCGATTTCAGGGTAGGTTGGACAAGCCCAAGACAAATTATTCATGTCGATCAAACATGAGGAGACTTCCCATCATTTAAGACTTCCCATCATTGAGGACCTGGAAATAGGGATCATTTGGTTTCATGAAGTTCGCGTTTAAAGGAGCTGAAACCTTGGATACAGTCACATCCTTGTCTTTCATATGTTCCACAGACTCCATGTTATATTTAAGGTCGGCAACATGCGGAAAAAAAAACCTGTTCCCTCAGTCATCCACCATTCAAGCTGTTGTGATCTCAGTTAACTCATGGCGTCCCCTTGAGCCGGTGATGGAGGAAATCCACTCCAGGAGATTATATGGAAAGGATAGGTGATGAATGATAGCTATGATCCAATAGAATTACTGTACAACTATCCCAGGAAATCCAGAATCAATATTTGACGGTTTCATAATATCACTACACAATAATATAGCATATATAATATCATATAATATCCAGTATAGTCATTACAATATAGTAAGCCCAAAAAAGATGCCGAAAAGTGTTTCCAGGATGTTACTTGGATGATTCCCTCATCTTTTCAGGTGTCGGTATCTTCGGCAGCTATGGGTGCTATATTTTGTTGCCAATACTCTCTAGTAAACTAACACAGCTATGGAAAATCACCAGTATAAATGCCCATGTTCAGTAGCAAATTGTTAAATTGCCAGAGGGTACTAGTTATAAAGCCCTTAAATCATCATTAAATCACCATTTTTCTTAGTCAAATCCCATTTTTGCTGCTTAGAATATCCAGATGCTATGGCCTTTCTTGTCATCCGCACCACCCGCGACCGCCTCGGGCCTCAGCTCTCACTTCGGGCACGGACAGACGCTTCTCCGCCTCCGTGCGGAACCCGGCGGAAGCCGGAGAAGATCTGTTTGGGTCATCGGCACAATCAATGGAAAATAGCTTATAAATGTTATGGTTTAAAATTTATAATAATGGATATAATAATATATAATGGATGATAATAATGGATAATAAATGGAGGTTTTCTGGTTGGTGATTTGGAACATGAATTTTATTGTTCCATTCAGTTGGGAATGTCATCATCCCAACTGACGAACTCATATTTTTCAGAGGGGTAGGTCAACCACCAACCAGTTTAAATGGTTTATAATAATGGTTAACAATGGAATCTGGAAAATGTGGTACTGAACATGTGAGCCATGAACAAAATACCCGCGTTGATTGGTTGTTATGGTGGATTATACTGCCTGGCCTAGTGGGCGTTATGACAACCAGGCTCACTTCCAATCATCCTGGAGGAGAAAATCTCAAAATCGGGATCTTTGAAATCCCCATATCTATATACTATATATACTTGAGGATGATTAGGTGTACACATAGTGTACATATTTGGGATTTTGGGCTTTGCTGTATATTTCTCTTAAGGTCTGTCTCTTAAAATGCGGATTCAGCGAAGATGTTTCCTCGTTTTGGGGCCTAAAAAAAACAGATCCCCGTGAACACATCCACAATCCATGAGTGGTAAATCCACCATTTTCAGCCAGATACTGATCAGCTTATCCCATGGGCCTTCAACCCATCTGATGATTCTGGTGGTTGAGCCGAAAAGGCCTATAGAGTCTGATTATTTGTTTTGATTTCGATAGGAAAGATATGAAAACCATTGGTTTTTGCAACTACAGTTTTCCTTTCAAAATCACTGATTGGGGTGAGAATGAGTGATGGGGTGGTACTGTTGATGGTCGGCCCATAGGGCCCTGGTTGATTACTGAGTGTTTCCCCCTAAGTCGGGTTCAGAACCATTAGGTTTCTATTCGGTTTCTATAGGTTCCCCATTAGAAATGACTCTAATAACTTGGATGACACCTTGGCGTTCAGCCGTTTTAAGAACCTATGCGGCAAAATGATTGAGTAAGTTGTATACCATGATGACAGTGCCGCAAAAAAATCACCAACATATAGCCGATTGAATGGCCATGTATAACCGCCAAAATAGCCATTTGAAGAAGCCTCCACCCAAGTTGTTCGCACTCAGCCCCGCCACCTCTATGATTCTGAATCGTCGTCAGGTGCTTTGGAGCTTTGTGCTAGTGATGGTGGGTCTGTGTCAAAATTGAGGAGTGGATGCCAAAAGTAATTGTTTACATAGATATAGCATGATATGGCAAACCAATGGTTTCCTAAGCGAAATGATCTACACATGGTTGAATTGTGCATATCTATCTTAGTGTACTGGAGGCGAAGAAGCACATATGCTGATGATTGCCTGCGACAACCACAAACCCTGAACGGCACATGGGTTTTCACCTGTTTTAATCTGCAAAAGCCATGAGTTTGGGTTGCGCTGCTATTTCCATGACTGAGGCAACGTTGTTTTGGCGCTGTATCCAATGTCATCACTGGATTGACTAGCCGTCTTAGCTTGTTGATCATTGCTGGACACAGTTTACGTCCCAATTGACGCTATTTATTTGAGGGGAATCCCCTCATAAATCACCCCAGTTCTATTAATCCAGGATTGACATTGAGGTGATCGTCACGGCTAGATCCAAGTCAAACAGTCAAACCATGATTTTGACATGGAAAAATGACCCGCCGAACGCTTAACGAACGTCGCTCATCAAAACCGATGAGTCGTCAGTGTAGCTCCGAACGTCGAGCTGCGCCAAGTCGTGCATGTCAAAACATGAGCGAGGAAGTGTTTCTAAGTAGTTTCCAAAACACTCTGGTGTTGGTTGATGATTTTCGGGGTCTATACTGAGTTGTACTGATACCCAATCCATCCCAATATGGGATTAAGAGGGATTAACATACTTTGAGAGATGGGAGTCATGGGGAACCACGACTCACACGGAAGCGGCAGGTACCGGCACGCTGCTGGGGCCAGGCCTGGCGGCCAGTGCTCGAAGATTCTCGTAGATTTGATTCAAGCTACAGAAACGCCAGGGACCTACCAGGGACCTACAGAATCTTGCAGATTTCTGACATGTTATGTAGTAGATAGTAGTAGTCCATCTTACTTTGGGGATAATTGCCCAAGCTTCACCCATATACCCATAGTGTATTGCATCATGAAGATTGGGAAAGTTCCAACAAACCCAGCAGTCAAACCCCAACGCTCGAAGAGGTGAAGAACCGATGTAAGAGGACTACTTGGATGACAAGCTTAACTGCAAGGTGCCCCCAAACGATAGCTAAGTTGGTTTATAACTTTAATATCTATGGTTTATAGGTGATATATCTATAGTTAATGGGATTATAAACAAACTTATAACTTTGGGCGGGGCACCACCTTGTGTGTATTATTACCTCCCTTGAAGCAGGAAACAGATTCCTGAACCATTTTGGGATTCCAACCGATTTCCAGACATGAAATGGCCGCAGGGAGACGCAGCTGATATTTCTGGCAATACATCTATCTGGCCAGAATACACTGTCCACACGCAGCCCTTTTTTGGCTCATTTCTCATTTGCTTCTTTCGACGTCTCTTCTTCAGGAAAGACAAGCAGAAGCAATGGTGCCTTGATTGAGCAACTCAAAAGCTGGCGGTGTTGGGTGCTTGTTCTGTAACCACAAAATCGGGAATGATACCCTCGGATATGTCAAAATAGCTATTGAACATGGTGATTTAGTTCGTGGATTTACCCATTGAAAATGGTGATTTTCCATAGTTTTTTGTATGTTTACTAGAGGGTATTGTAGTGCTATGAAATGATGATCCACAATTGACCAATGTCTTTGGATGTCTTTTGGATCTGTTGAATTCGTCAACATCCATCAGCCGGAAACGCATGGCTTCAGTCACGTTGTGGCTCAAAGATAGTTTATCCAAGCAATCATAAGTTGCATTGTTTTGAACAACTATAGTATATATGATATAATACATATTATATAACCATACTATACTATACTATGCTATGCTATGCTATGCTATGCTGTACTATACTATACTATACTATACTATACTATACTACATACTATATACTATATACTATATAGTATATACTATATACTATACGCTATACACTATACGCTATACACTATACACTATACGCTATACACTATACACTATACTATACTAGATTAGGCTATAGACTAGACTAGACTGTCCTATACTATACTGTACTATACTATACTATATTACTAGGTGGTGGTGAAAGATCTTTAAATACTCTATGCTTTACGTTTCATGACCACTTGGGCCTGTCGGAAGAACAACGGAAGAACATGAGAACCTTGAATCATGTCCTCTCGAGGCATATGATTTGGGTGCGGGTGCCCATCAAAATCCATTGATCATCAGAATCATCAGTATCCCTTTATCAAAATGGGCGTTTGGGGGCTAAATTCATTATTATCATGCAAACCCAATTACATCAAGTTGGCGAAAAATCTTCCATTGAATCCCATGAATATCCCAACCATGAATAGCCTACAAATATCCCATGTTTGCATATGACAAACCATTTTGACTCCGAGGTCTTTGGCTCTCGCATCGTGTCCGTGATCCTTGCGATCACATGGCAGCAGGCAGGTTTGTTTTGGATGGGACTGGGAAGCACGTAGACATCATCTGTGAATAGTCATCATTTGCAGGGTTACTCCAACCCATTATTGTGTATATATATATATATGGAGATATACTGTGTATATATATAGAGAGAGAGAGATTTGTCATGATAGTCACTTTTTGGGGGTAGATGATGGTAGATGTGTCATTTCTCAGATTTAGATGGTTCTATCTTGATGACTGCTGGTTAGATCCCTTGGTTGCGCTCGCATTGTTTTTGTTCACGTCATTTTGCATGATGATATTCCCTTAATCATTGGCGGGCGGTGTTGTGTTCCCTCTTCCATTTTTAACCACTATATATTCACCATGATTGATGGTTACACTCAGATAACTTCTTACCCGTAACATTGGTTCACACGCCCTTCTCTTTTCGGGTCAGACAGAGTCAGACAGAACCCAGATATACCCAGATTCCCCTTGCGTGACAATCCAAGGACCTAATTGGCTGCTTAGATCCTCATTTTCACGGCTAAAATGTCCCATATTTGCCGCCAAAATCTCGGAATCTGTTGCTGGCTAAATCATGCCAAATCACCATGTCCCTTGATCAAAACCCTTCTGTTTCCCCTATTCTTGTTGCTTTAAAGTGGTTAAACCATTGTTAAACCACGTTAAATCATGTGCAATCCACATGTTCGGCCAATCTTCTTTGCCATCCCCATGGTTTTCCAGTGACGTCTCCCCCCACGTCTCGGCCGTTTCGAAACGTTGCGAGGCCTTGGCGTCAGGTCATCGGGGCGCAGGCCATGCAGGTTGCTTCGTTCGTCGAGGCAATCAGATGTTGGCGGTGAAGTTGACCTATGACGGTGCCCCGTTGGGGCGATCCATTGGGGTCGCAACGGGGGTCGTTGGGATCCATTGGGGGAATTGTTGATGGGATTTGGATGGGATTTTGGATAGTACTTCAACAAAACGTGTGATTTTATCAAATTTTATCTAGGACAAATGATGATGACCTTTTCCGTCACTGGAATGATGGAGTCATGATGGGTAGGGCCCACTAGGGTTCGGCGAGTCATCCCCAAATGGCAATCATTATTTCAACTATTTTTAGGTGAATTATGATTAATGGTATATAATGAATGTATGTATTGTTTTAGGTGAATCATTAATGGTTGAATGGGGAGTATATGGTATATTTTTGGTGCGGCGAGTCATCTCCAAATCAATTATTCGAAATAATTCAGCCATATAGTCAATGTACATTTCAAAAGATACTCATGGATTATGGTGACGTATGGCGACCTCGAAATGTTAAGCCCAAAGTGCATAGATCTTGTGAGTAGGGGGTAGAGATTCTACTGTGGGGAGTATAGCAGGGCAGTAAGGGGATGTAGTGCAATTGTGTGTTTGATTCCTAGAGATATGAAAAGAATCTGTAGATATGATTGCAAACTCTCGTGCACTGCGTGAACAAGTTGGTGAAGCAATTCAGAAATCTTTGGGCTGACACCCAGAAGCGATCAGATAATGCAAGGGGTCCAGTACGAAAACCTATCTAATTACGTTCTTTTTGTTTCAGCTACATGTGGATGTCCGAGTAGTCCGTGTTGGCTACAGAAGGGTCTTGTGTGAAGGATTAAAAAGTACAAAATAAAGTACAAAACAAATTCAAATACAACTCACAAATACAAAATCTGAACTGCAGGGTTCAGAAAATACAACAGGTTGGCTTTGCATTTACTTTGCAAGTTGGTTCTTGCCTTTCAAAATGAACATGGAGTTGGCTCATTTTGCTCATTTTTGAAATGTGTTTTTGCTTTTATTTTGCATTTTTTGATTTGGGGTTTGTATTTTTTGATATTTTTTGTATTTTGTATTATTGAAGTTTTGGGTTCATATGTTTTTGTATTTTGTATTTTTGAGAAATTGCGGTCGTATTTATTTTGTTGTTATTCTGTACATGTTTGTAATTATTTTGTTTTTTAACAGAAAAATACAAAATAACTACAACAATTACACCTTGTATTTTTGTATGTTTTTTTGGTATTTTTCCAGCCTTTCCAAAAATACACTTTGTATTTTTCCATTCCTTCACAGATTGCACTTTGTCCTTTTGTTTTTTTGTTCTTTAGGCATGCTGGCAAAAACAAAACCGCAAGTCCACCAATATTTGTTGCATGTCCCATGTGTAGGCGACTTTCTCCCGCCGCAAGGTTTTATGTTTGTTATGTATTTTGGGGTTGTATGTTTGTTATGTTATGTATTCTTTTTGTATTTTAATGATAACAGGGGTTAACGGCCTGTAGCTAGCACAGGACTACTCAACCTTAGCGCTATGCAGTCCGCACCCATCCCATCAAAATGGTTTTGTCCAAGTGTGGAACATCTTTTTCAGCAAAGCAAGGAACCGTTGATTCGTTTGGAATTATATTTGGGGTTCATGCTTAAGCAGTGGACTTTCTGCAAATAGATGACAATTCAGTTTTACTGCAGGTTTCTTCGAATTCTGAATTTGCGTGCTGGTGAAAGGGGTTCTTTGCGCTTTCAAGAGGACTAGGTCCTAGTCGGTGCAACCATGGATGCAGACCGTTTCTTAGCACAGTATGGGCCCAAACAACTAATAATCAGAAAAAATGGTTGCTTTCGAAACGTTGGATAAACAGTTGTGTGGTCTTGATACGTCTTGACATCTACTCTTTTGCGCCCCTATGCACATTCCCATCAGGTTGAAGGTCAATTAGCTACTGTTCAAATCATGTACAGGGGTCATTGACTGCCAAGCTTTATCATTTCACTGTGTTCAACTCTAACATTTGCAGTTTGACCCAAATACTGAGCAAAGTCCTAGAGAAGGTCTGCTCCAAAGTGAACATGTCAAAGTGGATTTTGGGTGTCAAACAACTGAGGTAGAAAGTACGACATTCCTGGCGGTGTCTTGGGTGAACCATGGTGCTTCAGCAGCGCATCACCTCCCAGAATTCCTCTGCAACCATCTGCTACCTACGGGGTAAATGATGTTCCCACTCCATTGATTGGCTTGAAATGCTAGTTAATTGATGTTAATTGGTTATGGACAGTTGTTTATTGATGTTTGGTTCTAGTTTCATTATAGTATGTTAAGTCTGTTAAGTCTGTTAAGTTATGTTTATTCATTATCCCAAATTTGTTCAGAGATGTTGATTTTCTCCATTGACTCCAATGGCAAGTCCTCATCCTGCCATGCCCCGCCATCAAGAATGGCCTGGGGGCGGTCATCTCCCAAAGGCTGGAAGCATCCCTGATGTCCAACTAATGTTGGCTTAAAGACATCTCAGAAAACCAACCATTTCTGATGGCTTTTACCAACCATTTCTGGAATATTATATGGGGTATATAACCACCAATAACATGGGAATAACATGTTATCAGTAAATATGGATAAATATGGATATTGATGGCTTTTACCAACCAAATACCTGGTGATTTTGGGGATGATTTACTATGATTTACCAACATGTCTGAAAAATCTTATCGAAGGCCTATGGCCCGTTGAAGAAAATTCGATCCCAGACTCCACCGCTGTCAGGTCAAACCAATTGGAAAGAACCCGCCTCCAGCACCGCGGTACGAGAGACCTGGGAGGAGTCCGGGTACCGTGTCAATGCAGGCGGGAGGGATTCGGGGGTATTTTGACAGACAGAATAGTAGTACCATGTACCCTCTGGTAAATAAACATAGACCCTGAGAATCACCAATTTGTAATGGAAACTAATCTTCCAACCCCTATCTGGCAGGGTCTATATTAATTTCAGTACCATGTAGTACTTAGTGTTGAGAATGTTGAGGACAATCAGAGGACATAGCAAGCATCGTAATGATATGATGAGAAAAATTAATGATGTATGAGTCTATGATCATCACAGAAATAGTGATGATGATGATGATGGTGATGATGGTGATGGTGATGGTGATGATGATGATGATGATGATGATGATTACCGTAATTATATATTGTAAAATGATCGTAGAAATATCTGGTTGGTGGCGTTATTTTTTTTAATTGGCCATCCTACCTGCGATGAAGATCCTTTCTGGCCAGCATTTTTGGGGGGGGGCGCTAAAATCCTCAACCAGAGAATGATGGTACAGGCTTTGTCTGGAGATAGGCTGTGCTACCTCCAAATAGCACTTCTAATGGAAAACTAAGATACATGTTTTTGGAGTGCTGTTGTTTATTGGCATTTACCCTGCATAGTGGATATAGTGACTATGTCGTGTATGTCGAAGGGTGACGTGGGTGAAAGAAATCCCGTAAAGGAGGCAGTGTTTTTCGTTGACCAAGAAACGGTAAACCCCAGATTGATAGGATTTTTACCACAGGGGAGAATAATACCGAAGAGAATAATTGTGGGTCCACAAGAGCACTCGTAGTGCCAATCAGGAAAGCTACTCCCCCGTGTGAATGCACCAAGCATTATTTATTTCAGGGTTCATATTGAAGCTGACGGTGAGTAATTAGTTTGAAGAACAAGTGGTTGATGTTGATGTCTTTCACCCTTATCAAGGTCAAAATCCCATGGTTCAGACAATCGTTTCCCCATGGCCAATGTGGGGCATTTTGATCACTTTGGGAGAAACCATGAGAGAAAGCCATATATCATTCGAACATGTCCAAAAGTAGGAATACCCATGATGGATCCATGGTGCTGCTATATATATCTATATATGGTGCTCCATGGATCCCATCCATATACCCCAGTCACGTTAGCATAGAAAAACCAGCACCAGCCGGATCCGTCATGGGATACCAACGTTGGTAAGTTCAAAAAGAAGCCACATGATTCGCCAAGATTTCGCCAAGAAATTTCCATGGGATCAGTGCGTAGCATGAAGTAGCCATACATCATATGGTGGTCTGAGAATAGGTACCACACTCCATCCCAACAAAATGTCAAGGTTCATTAAGATTGATTGGATGTAAGATGATTTTAGTGTAGTGATTATGAAAAAAAACAATGAACATTTCCAACGTTGGATTTTCGCTGGAGATAGGTCGGTCACGAAAAACCGCTGATTCCAATGAGGCATCCCAGGACTACGACAATCCAAAAATGGAATGCTATCCTCCAGTAAATCAACAAAACGATCTGCAAAATCTCACAAAGAATGTAGATCATGTAAGAGAAAACCCAATAAACCCCATGTAGTTCCATGTTGTTTTGTGACAAAAATATTGGAAACTCATTCAACATGCTGTTACCAATGCTGTTGCTTCTCTGGATCATCTGGATTATCTCGGCGCAGGCCGTCACTTGAGAACCGTTCGCGGAGGCTTTCACATCTACGAGTGCTACCTTCAGGTGGGGGCGCAGGATTTCAGAGAACCAACATGGGAACCAATGATTCACCAAGTCAGAACGTTGCGGCATGGAATACAAAAGTTGGAGAATATGTAGGGAACCACAAAATGGGCCATGTAGCCCAAAAACTGAGATATACGAATGGATGCGAATTTGCCAGATCATCAACAAACCCATACAAATGACCATCATTGACCATCTATTTGCGAGTTCGTTGGTACCTTGACCTATGGCCCATATGTCCCATCATGGACATGAAAATCACACACATGACCAGATAACGTGAAGCGATGGGACCTTCCCAAGACTTTGATCCGGCGGACGCCCTCAAGCAGTTGTTTAGATCCAAGTTCGCAACCAACATCTGACGTACTCCGAAAAAATATGTTGGCAAATTGAGATCTTCACGTTTGGTTAAACAGGCTACATCCACGGGCCTAGTTGGTTGACATGTTCCATCTCTGCCGAGTCGTCCTATTTTGAGCAGCCACTTAAGTCCATGCACGTTGGGAGCTACCCATCTTTTGGGATAGACAAATCAGCCGGACGTCTCAAATCCCGAAAAAAAAAAAACATCGAACAATCAAACCTCCGTTTGGTGAAGTCTCCCCATTTTTGCCTTTGAGTCTCAGTTCTAAATAGGTTCTTTTTTTGCATCTTATAGCTTAAGAAAACTAACATTCACCAACATATTCACCAACATTCACCCATATTTAACCACGCGTTTCCACGAGTGTTTCCACATGGAAATGCCAACCAACCAAGCGCGCCCAACAGGAGGGGAATCCCGGCAAGGGGCCGGACCACGAGATCTCCGAGGTGAAGTGGATGTCCCGAGGCCCAAAACGGACTGACGTTTGCGGTGACATATGTTTGTGTCATATGAAAAATCCACTTATATGATCTTATATACTACAAAATATATATGATATACTATAAGTGGATATATGTCAACTTAAGTTGTTGTTGCTATACTTATATGATCTTATATACTACACTTATATACTACTTAAGTTATAAGTGACTTGTAGTTCACTGGAACTGCCCAAGACTTTAAGTGGGTGGACCAGAGCATAAGTGTTGTTTCTTGATTGTCCTCCACAGGTGTCCCATTTCACCTCAGGAATGCTTGAATGACTATCCAATGATGTTTCTTTGGTCGGGAAACCCACCAAAATCTACTGGTTTATCATCTCCGATATTGAAACTGCATGAAACTGCCACTTGACTGTTGTCCAGAATTTTCAAACATACACCTTTAAGTTTTTTCCATGGTTGAGCTAGGGGTTTATCCAATATATATATATACATAAATACATATTAATATATATACATATATATCCTAGATTTGGAAGTCTGAAGAGAAACGAAAATAGAAACAGGCAGCCACCATGGATCCAGATGCTGTTTGTCCATGGGAGTTTGGGACCTCTAAAAATCCTGCTGCTGTTTATATCTGTCCAATGTAACGTGGCACCACCAAACGTCCTCATGATGGTTGCCAGTCACCCAAAATATTAATATTTATATATACATATGTATATATATAATTATATATATACACATTGTTCGTTGCATCCCAATATGCATCACAGGGAAACTGGTCTGCTCCTAGACTTGGAAGGGAAGTGATATCCTCATCATTGTCCTTGTAAATCTATATGGATATGGTAAACAAGATGATAAACCATCCCCCATGCAATTTTGCCACAGATGGGTTGATATGCCAGGGACATTCTCCGAAACAACCCAGGAATAGTAACGAAAACTCACGTGCACCATAGTCAAACCACGCTTTGTTTTGCAAGAAAAGGATAGAAAAGGCATGGTCGCCCCTTCTCCCAGTTGGGGTTCTTTGCCCGTGTTAAAGAATCCCTGTCATGATACTACACCATCAAATTTGCATATGTCTTGTTTACCGTTGTACTATACTATACTCCATGTTCATATTGGAGGATGAACATACATTTAATAGGGAATTATAATGTCGAGCTAATAAAGATTCTGAATAACCCTGAATAGTTGGATGGCCAAGATCATATTTAAGTTGGTCATATATCCCAGCATATCCCATTATGTTTCCATGAGTATCCACTATTACGATCTATTAAGTCATATAAAGTCTACAGTGTACTTTTTTTCATATTATAAATTACATACATCCCATTGCATCCATCCTGAGCATCCCATGATCCCATCAAAAAAATCGGAAGATCCCATGAAATTCCCATAGATGTCCTATGAAATCCGCGGGAATCCCATGATTGATCCCATGAAATCGATCTGCGCAGGCGAGGTTTCGCGCCAGCTGAATCGAGGCATGTGGCGCTTTCAGCGGTCGCAGGTTCGTCGGGAAACCATGGGGTCAGGTCTCACGAGGAATTTACCATAGGAAATCATACGTTGATTATTTACCATGGTGGAATTACATCATATATAATTAAATACATCATAAAATCAAGGTGTGGCAGGTCTCATCAATTAATACGTTGATATATGATGTACTCTCTGGTAATGACTAAAATAGCTATTGAAAATGGTCATTTATAGTTGATTTTCCCATTAAAATGGTGATTTTCCGTAGTTATGTTAGTTTAACAGAATTTAATACGTTGATATACTGGTTGGTGGTTTCAAACATTTTTTATTTTCCATAATATATGGGATAATCCTTCCCATTGACTTTCATATTTTTCAGAGGGGTTGAAACCACCAACCAGAATATGATGTAATTAATTGATTTTAACCAACTGGTGGAAATACTTTGATGTACCATTGAATCTCAGATGACATTCGCCAAGAAGGATGCAGGATGATGGCACTTTGTATTTTGATGATGATGATGATGATGATGATGATTATCGTGATCGTGATCGTGTTGTCATGTTGTCATGTCGTCATGTCGTCATGTCGTCAAACTCTGGTTTGAGAGTGGCTCCATAAGAATTTGAGCCCAAGTACTCGTATGTAAAATGACATAAACCTACATGTGTTGTGGAATGGGCTCCGAAACCACGTGTTGCAGGAAGTTGCAGTATGATTCAGTGTGTTTTTGGTGGTTGGGATGGGGTATTTGTTGCTATTTTTCGCCCCTGAAATGACTATGACGACGAAATCTTTCTCGACTTCCAGTAGAGTCATCCCATCTCTTGGAGGAAACCCCACCATGAATGCAAAATCATTTTCCTAGGGCAACCATTGATTGTCCACATCTAAACATTTACCATGTTTACCCGGGATCCCTAGGGTACTAAATGATCAGCACAGGACCCTGCTGCCTTTACTGGGCTTCTGGTCCCAATCCTCACCAAATGGCTCCAACATGGTACAAAGTGAGGCCCCCCAGTTGTCAGTTAGTTTATAAACCCATTGACTCATTAACATTCATTAACTATATAGCTATTTCCCCCTCAAACCCTGAAGAAAATAACCAAACTATAAATCGACTTGGCTGTCTAGGGGGCCTCACCTTGTACAATCCTATCTATTTCCACCTGGCCAAACATCCAGCGCCAGGCATACCTGTACCTGCGCTGGTTGGGCAACTCGAGATCAGGAGACAACGCAGGAGCGAACAGCACAAAAGCTGCCGCTGTCGGGTGCCTTGTCGCAGGTGATTTTCCTTGTGGCCCACAGACCGTATCTGTAGGATCCCACAGGAGCCTGGTGGCAACTTGTGACCTCACTAGATCTCACTAGCAGAGCCGCTCTCAAACTGGGTAACTTGTCATAGATCATTTCCGGCGGAAATTGCTTGAATACAGGGCTCTTACTTCAGCTTTTTAGGATTCAGTAGCCCTGACGTGCCCGAAATTCTGCAAGGAATGCCACGTCCATCGAGAAGACGAACACCACCAAGGTGCTGCCTAAGACCGGCGAGAGCGAAAAGGTGTCCGGCCCCCGCAGGCTGTTTCTGCTGGTCTAGGGGGGTCACCCTCCATTTTTCGGGGATGCTCCCGCAGTTACAGCCATCAGGGGTCGGGCACTCAGTTGCCTGGGGAATGTAAGGCTCCGATTCTGTGACAGGGCCAGCCTATATTGGATACAAAACCAGCTGAACAGCGACCTTTCAAGACTTCAAAAAAAACATATTAGATCATATTAGCAATTTGCATCAATTTGCTGTTTCAGGTTTGGACACAATGATCGAAGGAAGTTTAGAAGTCAAACTTCCGACAATATGGACAGATGAAAAGCAGAGCAGGGAGAAGAGAAAGATGAGAAGAAAGAAGAGTAGAAGAGAAAGAGTAAGAAGAAAGAAGATGCAGATGCGAGAAAAGGTAGGAAAGTCGCGAAACACTGTGTTTTTCCAATGATTTGGGGCTCCGGAGTGTCGAAAAGTAGGCTCGCTAAAGCGGCGGGTGCGGAGCCAGCTGGCCAGATGAGAGATGAAAAATTACACGCCGTTGTGGCGTGAAGCACATTTCGAAGTCAAAATGCATAAAACACACCATTGTCGGACCACTTTTGGAAGTTGAGATGTCGAAAAAGTGCACGCCGTTGTGGCGCAACGTTTCGAAGTCAAAATGTACAAAACACCTCAGCGTCGGACCACTTTTGGAAGTTGAGATGTCGAAAAAGTGCACGCCGTTGTGGCGCGAAGCACATTTCGAAGTCAAAATGTGCAAAACACACGATGGTCGGACCACTTTTGGAAGTTGAGATGTCGAAAAAGTGCATGCCGTTGTGGCGCGAAGCACATTTCGAAGTCAAAATGTTAAAAACACCAGGGGTTCGGACCACTTTTGGAGGTTCGGATGTCGAAAAAGTGCATGCCGCTGTGGCGCGAAGGACATTTCGAAGTAAAATTGCTCAAAACACTAGGGGTTCGGACCACTTCTGGAGGTTCAGATGTCGCTTCGCTTCAATACACTACACTACAGGACACTACACTACACTACACTCCAGTACACTACATTACACTACACTACGCTCCAGTACACTCCACTACACTAAATTACACTACACCACACTACATTACACTGAATGACACTGCAACACAAATAGACAGGTAGACAGCTAGACAGATAGACAGATGAAAGAGAGAGATAGATAGATAGATAGATAGATAGATAGATAGATAGATAGATAAGTAGATAGATAGATAGATAGATAGGTAATTAGATGAAAGAGAGAGAGAGAGAGGCCAGCTGGGTAGATGAGATAGATAGATAGATGGCTAGACAGATAGACAGACAGACAGACAGATAGATAGATAGATACATCGATAGATACATAGATCGATACATGGAGAGATAGATAGATACATAGACAGATCGATGCATCGCAAGATCCATAAATACATCGAGAGATAAATCGAAAGATGGGTGGCTAGATAGAGAGACAGATCGATCAATAGACAGGTAGATGGATCGACAGATGGACACATAGATCGCTAGATCGAAAGATCGCTAGAAGCGTCGATGACCAGATAAACGCATGGGTAGCTAGATGGATGGATAGCTGGAAGAAGAGGTAGACGGACAGATGCATGGATGAATCGATAGAGAAACAGAACGAAGAACATGGTGATGGATAGCTGTGGACATGGATCGATGAAGAGATGGACGGAGAAAAAAAAACTAACAGAGAGAAGTAAGTAGATGGATGAATGGCTGGATAGAGAGAGAGATAGACAGTTTAATAGATAGGTGAATAAACAAATCGATCGATAGATACATGAATAGACAGGTAGATAGGTAGATGGCTAGAAAGGTAGCTCTGTAGATAGATGGCGAAAGAGAGACACAGAGAGAAAGAGAGAAAGAGAGACAGAACGGGAGAAACACTCAGCCACCTTTCAATCCATCAGTGGGTTCGCTCTGCCATTTTTGCGTCACACCAACTCACCTCTCCTATAGGTTTTCCATTTTTGAAACTTCCGCCACCGCCTTGTGCGGTACTACTGGTAAGATATGATAAGCATCCATGTTCTACAACTCCTTAACATGTCTTCAGTTTATAGAAGCTTCCATCAGACCTAGTGCCTAGGGTTGGCGGCCACGAATCGGAACGCTTACGGTCCGACTTGCCGGGCGTGCGCGCCCAGAATTCGCGCGGCTGCCGCGCGGTCCGGGAGAGTCGCTAGGTGTGTGAAAACCGCCGGTTGTCAGCGAAAGTCACAGCACAACAGCTTTGGCAAAGAAATTGGAAACCTTGACCATTTGGGAACTAGGCTGCTATGCTTGGCTATCCCTATGCTTGAGAGATGGTCATGCTCGTAATCATGCGCACGAGATGTAACAGGGAATGTGTGGTAAAAGCAGGCTCCCAGCATCCCCAGGAATAGTCATACCCCGCGCTTGCGATACCCCAGTGGGGCTTCACGCAATCCTCGTCATCCTCATCAGCAGCAGCAGAATCGCTGTGATCATCAACAAAAACGACTATATTATCATGACTATCATGACCACAACCAAGACTGATTTCTATTTTTTTCTAAGATGTTCCTACGGGCAGCCAGCGCTAAGTTATGGGCTCATTCCTAAGTAGCGCCAAGAATCGCAGCATTTCACAAAGTCCAATGGACCTCACCCCGACGTACAGAATGAACATGAACTATGTATTCTGGTGATGTTTGCCATTCTTGCCCGCCCACAATACAGCAAATGTCTTGAAAAAAGCAGTCTTGATGCTGGAAGAAATTCAACAGACGTGTTTAGAAAATTCAAGATTATCCTCAAAGATCAGAAGAATTTCAGGGTGTTGATTTTTTCTGCGCTGTCTAAGGTACTGAGTTGTTTTTTCAGATGCGTGGTGAACCGGAAACCTCCAAAATTCTCAAGGGATCCGAGCTCCAAAATCTGCAGTTTTGCGCTAAAGAGTCAATTTATGTTCTGTTCAGTCACTGTAAGGTATCTTTGAAAGACTATGGAACTACACCTCCAAAATCCTCCAAAGGAATCAGCATACTGATGTGGAAGAATCAAGATTCACCACCAGTTTTCCAGCATTGTCCCATAGTATTTGGACAAGTCCAGTGAGTTCATGTGAGTTCCAAGTGCAGCACCGGCCACTAGTCCTTCACCCTTGGTTTTCCGCGACTTTTCCGCTGAGCCAAGTTGTGGACAGCTTCAGATGCTTCAGGTGTGACGAAAAAACACTGCTCTGTTGCGGTGTCGCAACTTGGCGGTGGGGTGCTGTGAAGCCCCTACCATGCATACATGCTTGGGTGATTTCAACATGAGTCAACACATGTGAAAATACCATGAAATACATTGAAATACCTATATGATATTCCACGATTTTGGAGGGATGAATATGGATAAACATCCATAAATCCCAGCAAGTTTGGTGGTGAGAAAATGAGAACATCATCCACTCTCATCCAAGTTATTGGTTAAATTTCGAGGGGAAATCTTCATTGTTTTGGGATCCTGCAATGTTGAGAAACACCCCACTGGATCCCAATGGTGTATTGCTGTCCTTTCCTATCCAGGAAGATGGTCCCAAGCAACCTATCAATATTCTCGGGATGGGGGTTGAAACCACCGACCATGTATGGTGCGATGCATTGCGATGCCCGCTGCTGCAGTGGCGACATGACACTCAGAAACATGAAGCATGAAGCTGACAGGGATTTAGTTCTGAAACCAGCTGACAAAAGGAATGCTGGTTGGTGGTTTGGAAACTTTTTTTATTTTTCCATAAATTGGGAATAATAATCCCAACTGACTTTCATATTTTTCAGAGGGGTAGGTATACCACCAACCAGAATGAATACTTGGATATGGATTGATATGCGTTGACGATTTGGAGTCAGGCCATCGCTGTTTGTGAAGGTTATCCCGGTTGCTATCCATGTAGAACACCTCCGCAGGTCACCATTGTTTTGATCGAGGGGGCTAGTAACTTGGTCAAGAGTTTGACAAAAAAATGGTCAGACCAAGTCATACCACCATTGATGGGGAATTAAATTGGCAAAGGAATCCCGAATGTGATTGTGGGAATGCCATACCTCATATACCATGTTTTCACCATGGCACATGAGAATTTGGTGGAGGGAACTGCTAGAGTACCCAACTATAGATTCAGTTTTTCATCTTTTCTACAGGTTACCATCTTTGACCAAGATCCCCCGAAACGGGGGTCACACCCTAGATGTCCTGCGTCATATGTCATATGCCCTAGGAAGACCCGGCAACATCTCATGAGATTTGATCCACAGGATGAACAACAATTACAACTTACTGGGACCATCGGGAAAGTGGTCATTCTATTTCCGGTGAACCAACTATGATAAATTTGATCACGACCTCACTTGGCGACGTCGGTGGGGTAAGCAACCCCAACATAGCTGAACTGTTCAGGTTCGTGAATTAATTTAAAAAAAAAACAGAACCTGATATATATATACACATACATATATAGTTTTGTATGTTTTTTAATAATTGTATATATATGGTACTTTTTTTAGTATATCATACAGAATATCATGTATGGATTCTCGTGGTGATTGCTGCAGAAGGGCTGCTCCGAATTCTGAATTTATCCCAAGGATGGTGCAGGAAACGTCACCTGTTTCCACGAAGCAGTGGTGTCTACAAGCGCAAAAAATTAATGCAGTTTTTCCACACTACTACATTGGTATGTAGTGTATATACATGTTTATATACGCTGTATATATATACTCATATCTATTTATTCTCATATCTATCATATATATGTGTGTGTGTGTGTGATTTTGTTATAATTGATATTTATGTGATATAATGTGTGATATATATATATATATATTCTATGTGCTACATATTTATATAAAAATATATTTATATATGTATATGATATATATATATGATATATATATATATCTTCACCCATTCATTCATTCATTCATTCATAGATAGATACATACATACATACATAATACATATATACTACATGAGTGTAAAATTATATATATGTATGTGTGTGTGACGTGTATACCCTTTTCTTCAAGGGTCAAGTTTAACTTGCACCTAAGCACGGTCTATGTTTAACTAGGTTAAACATTGTCTTTCAGGACGGTATATGTTTTACTGAAAGTTGTGGCTCCAGA